TGTCATCTCTCCTTTTCTCCCACTGTCCCTGTCCAGGCACTTGGGGCTCCAAGCGTCTCTCAGGTTGAGAGGTCGGGCCAAAGGTTCAGCCAGAGGTGGCTCGGAAGAGACCATAGGAGAAAGTCAAATGGCTGAGCCCACAGTCCTGTTCCCCTTACCCTAGTCTTCCCCGGCAGCCCCCTGCCCACACATTTCTCTTCTCCCTCCTCACCCCTCCCCCATGGTCACCAGATTTTTGAAGTCCCTTTTATGGGAGAGAGGGAGGATGTCACGTACCCATTAGGATTCTCTTGATCCTTTTTTAAGGGAGTTTGGGCGGCAGCAGGGGGTGTGAATTTTTATACAATGCATTCCTGTCTTCACTTTGAGAGCTTCTTTTTCTCTGTCTTACTGGCCATCTGTCAGGCGGGTGGGAAATAGAACAGGGGGGGCACTCTGTCTCTCCCTTTGCAACAGGCCACTCAGGCTGGACTCCTTCAAAGACAGCTGCACTTTCAAGCTTTCAACCCACAAGTCAAGGACAGGGACCTAAAAGATGCATGCTCCTTGAACACCCTGGCTCTCTTCACTTCATCCCTGTACTTGCATCGGGAGATCAGCTCCGCATGCGTGCCCTATTTGTTTTATCACCTTTGACAGCCAGGAAATGTGAGCCTGGTTGTCCTCAGCTAACCTCAGGGTCCATTGAAGAAATGGACCAGAATCTAAAAATGCCTCCATCACCTGGTCCTAGGGGAAAGAGAAGATGCATTGCAATAATTGGAGGAGGGAGAGGAGGAGGAGGAGTGGAGAGTAAACAGAGTGAAAAGATAATGGGCAACAGGCTTGAGTTATTGGGCGTGTGTGCATGTGTGTGCATGTTATATGTGTTTGGGAAAGAGCGAATGTAAATGAAAGAATGAGCCTAACTCCTTAACCTTTTTCTTACTCAGACCACAGACCTTGACTAGTATTGGGGGTGAGGAAGCAGAATCTTTGGCAACACCTACTTGGTCATCCTCCTTCCCTTTCACACATGTAGAAAGCTGTAGGGGGGTGAATGAGATGAATCTAAGGAATGACTTTTACCCTCTTGACCCCCATTTTCTCTAAGCAGTTTTCTCAGAAACAACAGATTTGAGACATCTCATCCTCTACGAAGAGGGTCTCAGTACTATTACAATCAATGAAAATCAGAAAGGAAAGGATCCTCACAGCTCTTTGGTCCAGTTCTCTCATTTTACAAATAAGTACCCTGAGATCAGAAAAAGGAGGCCATTTGTCCATGATCCTTCAGCCAGCTGAGGGAGCATCTGAGAGAAGCTCCCCAGCCTCCTGACTTTCAGCTTTACACTTTTCTCCCACCCTGTTTCTGCCTGTGCAGTGCATCCATTCTGTGACTAACCAGGGAGGAGGGGAGCGGAGACAAGCTCCCACCGAAATAGGCTGCTGCCTGTGCGTGATTATGTTGCTATGAGAACCTCAGTGGGTGTGTTTCCTCCGTTCTCTGTTGAAATCTTTTGCTTGGCTTGGCTTCTCCCCAAGCACAGACACAGCTCCCCTTAGAATGAGGAGTGGAGAGGCTGATATGGAGAGCTGCATTCTCCTGGCAAGAGTTTTCTATTCCAACCCATCCAATGCAGGCCCAGCCTGAGGCTGTGAGTGAGAACCATAGGCCACCATGGTAGTTCCACAATGGCTAGAGTGAGTAGTCTTGAAAGCGAATAGTCCAGTCCTCTGTTGAGCCACCTTGGAGCAGAGAGTTGTTCCTGCTGTGTTCCCACCTAATTACAAATTCACAAGCAAAAGAATTGTTACTTTAAGAGACTAAGTTTTGGGATGCCTTGTTACACAGCAAAAGATTACCTGAACACTCATGTCCTAGGGTTGTGAGAATTGATGATGTGTGAAAAGTGCCTAGCACATAGTAGGCATCCCCACTACCCCACCATTCACAAGAATTCAGTCTTTCTCCATCTCTTTTGCATAAGTATGTTAGCACAGCTCTTACAATATTAAAAGAATTCCACAAAGAATTTACTGGATATCTGTTATATGCCTAGCTCATTAATAGGCCCTGGGCTTGACAATAGGCAACAAAAGGTATTGGACTGATCATTGAGGAGCTCTCAATTTAGCTACCTTGAATGCTTTGAAAGTGTATAGAACTTTCATAGAAGAGATTTTGAAGGGATTTAATGGGAGGCAAGAAGATACATAGGACGACCAGACATACACTAAGAAGTAGGTTAAATATTCTGGAACAAAATGCCCTTCCAGGTAGAGATGTCTTGAGGACACATTTTACTTTACTTACGTCTTTGGTGCAACAAGATGTATTGAAGAGGACATGTGAAGTGCTTAGGATAGTGTCTGGCTCATGGGAAGACCACAAACGTTGTGTTAATGCTTGCTAGGCCCTGTGCTAGGCTCTGAGTCAAACATTACAGAGCACTTATTACATGCCAGAGACTCATCTAGACTTAATGTGTCCTCATGCAGTTCTTTCAACAACTCTTTTGGGAAAGTACTGTTATTATCCCTCAAAAACGATGAGAAAACAAAAACACAGAGAATTGTCCAAGTGTTACGTAAAGTCAGGATTCAAATCTAGTATGATTTATTCCATAGCATGACCTTCAAGAGGTTAACCAGATTCTGTGAACAAGACAGTGGTTCTCAAACTTGGCAGCAAGGTGGAGTCATCTGAGCTTTAAAAATACCAGTGCATTTCTTCGACCCCCAGAGAGTATGATTTAGTGAGGCCTGGGCGTCAGAATTTTTTTAATTCTCTAGCTGATTCTATTGAGCAGTCATGGTCAAGGACAACTGGATAAGGATATGTGGAAAAGATGAAAGTATCCACAGAGAAAGAAGGTCTCTAAGTTATAGAAAGGGCCCCCCAAAACTATAGGAGCCCCCCCCCACCACAGTATAGAAAGCTCCATCTCTAACACAGAAGTTCTTGAGAGCCACAAAGTTCTTGAGAGTGAAAATGTGCTGATGGTTTAGCCAGCATACAAAGGTTGGAATAAGACTCTTGAGGGGCGCCTGGGTGGCGCAGTCGGT